TATACAAAAAGCAACAGTTATTTTGACACAATGGCTAAAATTATATATGTGAAAGTTGCTTTAATAGTGACTTTTACTTTGTTTGCATTAATGGATCAGGATATCGCCCATTTTCCTCTTAAAATACTCCTAAGATTCCCATTTCAGGTTAATCTAATTTGTTAATAAATTCAACACAAAAATACCAAAGTAATTACAACTGATACCATAAAATGCCAAGTCTGTGAGCAAGTTGTAATGCCTTGCTGCGACGAACCCTGAATAAGGACAAAGTTCTGAAAAAATGAAATCTGCATTTCCATAAAGTTTGTAAGTAATACAAATTGTTAAGTGTTCTATAATTTCCAGCAAAGAAATTAACTTTCAAATCGATAAAGTGGACCAACTGATTAATTGACTGACAATAGCAAACGGTCAATGAATCTAAAGCAACTTGAATTGTTTCTTTCCACTTGTCCTCCAGGCTCCATGACATTTATTATCAAAAATAAAATAAAAAAAACATGTAATTTCATATGAAAAGAGGTCATTGAAACAAAATATATTTTTAATCAGCAGCCCAGGTTAGTTTTTCTGATGTTATCTCTGTTTAAAGTTGTCTTAACAAAGGGAATGTCTGTCTCTGAGTGGCCGTTGCTTCACTCCTATCAAGGCGGTTATCCTAACTGTTAATGCACACTTTGATGTCACTTTTTCCTTCCACTAAACTTTTCATTTACATGATTTAATACAGCACTGTTGCAAAAATTGATAACAATTGATCTATCTGTAAAAAAATATATATATATTTATTATTTAATGCTGTAAGCCCTGTAAGAATGTAAAAAGAACATCCTTAACGAACTAAACATAAAATACATTTCCTTTTGCAACATTTATAGCAACTTTCTCTCACCTTGTCCGAGTTGATGAGATCTTTCTTACTGATGGGACCATCGTTTTCAGCTCCGCCAAGTTCCAAAATATCCCGAACATCAGCACCGGTAGCCATTGTTATATGGCGTTTATTAAGCCGTGGATAAATGCGTTTTACAATCTGTCAAGCAGAATTACCGCTTACTTATTCTCAGGCGCTCATTCATTCCCTGAACGATTCAGTACAACAGACATCAACAAAGCTAAAAGCTAACCCGGTCCATCATTTCTCAAGCTTTTAACCTTAGAATGCAGCAAATACCTGAAAATGCTTACATATATATATATATATATATTGGTATTGATGCTACTTCACCATATGAAATACGCTTGAAATACTTAAAAAATAAAATAAACAAGAAGATATGTTGTTGAAGTACCAGCGGTAGCTAAGTACAGTAGCCGAACATGCCGCTCTGATTATACTAAGGAGAATTCACAGTCGCCACCTAGTGGTGTGGAGGAGAACAATTACAGGAGGTTCTGATTAATGTCAGTTTTGCATAGATAGATAGATAGATAGATAGATAGATAGATAGATAGATAGATAGATAGATAGATAGATAGATAGATAGATAGATAGATA